GAATGGTCGAACGCTATCGAACACGTTCTGAATGCGTCTTCATCCGTTCGTCTCGACCTGGGAGGTATATATATATACCTCCATCTTTTCTGTTCTTGCATCTGATTGATCCGAAGAAACGAACTAATCAAGTTTTTTTCCTTTCCTGTCGATAAATATATCGATAAATAATATGCGGACGTGGATCACGATAAATAGAAAAATCGTTTTTTTTTTCTCAAAGAATAAAAAAAATAAATTAAATCTAAACAAAAAAAGAATATGATATAAAAAAAAATATTTAGCACTTTTACTTGAAGAAAATAAAATTTCTCAATGTTTATTTGTGTATGATTGTTACAAAAATATATTAGAAAAGTAATACTTTTACAAATGAATCTCGAACTGACACCTGGATTTGCCTTTTCGGAGGGGATCCTAGCACGGAATCAAGCTGAAAAGATGTCCATCGGATAGAGCTCGTCGAATTCTATCTAGTGGTATGATTTTCACGTTTTGATCCGGTCTGTGAGCGAATCCATACAGGTTTTACGAAAAGTGTAGTATTTTTTTGCCATTTCTTTGCAGTATTTCAGGTTTTTCTCTAGGTTGGAAAGGTACTGGAGAAAAAATAAATAGTGCATTCGATTGAGCGAATCCATACAAGAAATACTCGAGTCCAGCTCCAAGATATCCTACGTGGACAGATGGCCGGATCGACAGACTGACAGATTCTAGAGGTGTACTCACTTTTTGAGTACATAAAAAATGATCACCGATGATTGTACTTTCGATAATGTAGAAACGCTCACGCTCATATGAGCGTGAGCGTGAGCTGTACAGCCCTAATATGGATAAGGAATCACTTTTCTTTATATTCTCCGCCATACTTAATATGGTATTGCAGAGAAGCGCAGAAATCACATAATATCGTTTAATTTCTTTGGAGACGATTTCGTTATTTAACAAGTTGAAATACTCATATCATTCAAGAAACGAATTAATTACATATTGATATTTAAATATCTGTATAGGAATAAGAACCTGTGCCTTAAAATTTGTACAAATATTCAAGGATTTCCGTAGTAATTATTAAAATTTCCTTGTAGTTATTATAGTTGCTAAAAGTTTTAACTTTTTTGGTGAAGAGATACTTATTTTCAGACATTTGATTTCACTGACATATAAATTGATATTTTAAGAATTTTAGAAACGAAATATAGGAAGCATAGTACAACTGTGAGCCCAGCAATCTATCAAATAAAATATTTCTAATAGAATTTGAAGTTGCTCTTTCAATCGAAGACTCTGAAGAATTTGATAGATATTTATAAGTTAAATATAAGAGATTTTTTATGTCAACATATTTTGTTTGATTAACAGTCGAAGGCATGATTCTTTACTATACTCGATGGTCAGACAAATACGCACGGATCTTCTTAATATGCAAACAGATTAACTTGATTAAAATGATGGTCATGCTTCCTACTAAATAACTATGAACGAATATTTCGCAAACTATTGTTTGGCATAGTTATATTCAATACAAAATAATATATTTTTTACTGTTCTCATATCCTCCTGTCGACATTCAAATGCAATACACTCGAGTATGATGATATCGAAGTAAAAATTTTCATCATAACAACATGAAGCAGAAAGAAAACGAAATATACGTGACGACGAGCGCATTCATACAAAAAAAATTACGTATCTCACATGGCAATGTCATGGTCCACTGATTCATGTAAGTATTTGTATGTTGGAAAAAACCATTCATTATTTGTATAATAAATAGAGAGTAAAATCGATGGCAGATATACAAAGCAAAGCTGGTGCATTTAAACATTACTTGAAAAATAAGTAGAAATTTTTTTCATTTTCCGCAAGCCAAATGCTTTGGTAAAAGATACTCATCCTCTTAAAAATTGAAGCAAAAGAAAGTGGTGCATTATCCATGGGCAATTTTCGCCGCTTTATTTTCTTTTTAAAATATTTTTTTTTGAGGTCCACTTGAGGATACTCAAGCTCTACAGCGAATCGTGAATATTTCTAATTTTACCAAAAAAATTAATACTTCAGGGTTAAGATCATTCGCATTAATTATTCACCCAAATTGTATAAAATATTTTTTTATTTCATCAACAGTTGTAACGAGTTATCCAAGCAATTTAAGAAATTGAAAAGAGATCCCGATTCTCAGAATGGTGATTCAAACTTCAAGAGAAATACAGCAGATTAATACGATATAACAAAAAAATAGCTATTATTTTAAGATATGGACATAAAAGACGAGGTTTCTATTCAAAATAATCATCATTTTCGGAATCAGCGCAACAGAATACGCCAGAAACTTTCTATTTTGTCGAATTCTTTTCTCAAGAATAAATTTCACCCAGTTTCCACTTCAGTCTTTTATGAATAGACTTTTCGGCTGTACTCCCCTACAGGCGAAAATTTTGATAAGAAAAAAATTTTTCGACGAAGTAGAGAGTTCCTAGTGTATTCTTATGCGTTGATTCTGAAAATGATGGTTATTTTAAATAGGAGTCTCGTTTTTTATGTCGAAATCTTGAAATAATAGCTATTTTTTTTGTTGTCTCGCATTGCTCTACTGTCTTTCTTTTAAGGTTTGAATCATTATTTTAATAACTGGTCCTTTTTCAATCTTTTTTATTGCTTTGACAAGTTGTATCCAGCTTCACTATTGATAAAAAAAGTTCACCTTTCAACAATGAATCTTTCTCATGTTAAAAGCAAAAGAGTCTTTCCGATGGACTCTAAAATCAGTGCACAACTCAGTTCTTCTTTTGGAATTAGCTCTATGTACAGTGTAATTTTGGTACTTTTTGATTCAACTTTTGATGAAATACAAAAATATTGTATAGCATTAGGGTTAATAATTGATGATCATGATCCTAACCCTTAAGTGTTAACTTTTTTGGGCAAACTTAGAAATGTTCACGATTCGCTTTACTACTTCAATGTCCTTAAGTGATCCTCAATAAAAAGTGTTTAAAAGAAAAAAAATTCTAGCAGGGAGAGGGTAAATGACGGAGTTCGTTAACTAGTGATACGTTGTTTCACTCAATCTAGCGACGTTGCTACTAAGATAATCATTCTTAATGATGCTGTCGCCATGTATCCGTTAACGTAAACCATCTATAATCTCTTTTCTTATCTTACATTAAGAACTAGTCTAAGTCCTTTCAATAGAGCGTTGGTGAGGACATCGCGCTACTTGTGTCTTAATAGCTAGGAAGAAGCATTTGTAAAAAGTACCTTTATACTTTTGCTTCTGAAATCATAGATCATACAGAACTCAATATTTCATAATGATTTGAAATTTTTATTCATTGATCTTTATCAAAAAATTACTGCAATATATTGACTTTTCATAGACACTTAGGTTTATTCCATCAAGCAGATGAACACATCAGAACTCTTTTCTTTAATAAATAATGGAATTTTTTAAATAAGATTGCTCGCTTTGTATTTTATGGATACTCAAATAGTTTTTATGTGAATCCAATATAGATTATTGATTTATAACTTTAATATGTAATGGTCGTAACCATTAGTGAACCATTTATTGGTATTATTAGTATGTTACAGATTACAACATTGTTAGAAAGCAAGTGCTTAGAAAAAGTTCAATAAGCAGACGATACAAACCGTTGAAGAATACCGTAGTGTCGAATTTGAAACTTGAGTTCAACTGAAAAAGCCTTCTTCATGTTTTGAGTTTCACTTTTAAGTTCCAAAGTTTAATTTTCAATCTTCGAAATTTCTTTATAAACACATACACTAAACGAGATGCAACACGAACCGTTTTGTAGGTCCCATACTTAAAATTTGAAATTTGACGCTTTGAAACTATTCTTGAAGCAAACCTTTTCGGTTGAATTGATGCTTTAAGTTTGATACTACTTTTATGTTCATAGGAGAGTTACCATCTATAAATCAGGTGTATATGAAACGTGCATAGTGTGACTTTTATTGTTTTATTCAATTCTATTTTAGTTCATTATTAATTTGAACAAAAACCACATATTGCGTACGTGTCATGTCCACATCAACGGCGATTGCCTCAAATGCAAACCAGGTATAAGTCATAGGCTTGTTTGAAATGGTCAGGATTATCCATAATCTAGTGTTACAACTGAATGGTATGCGATAGTCTCTCATACACATTTGTAACATAGGGACATCACTCTGTATCTTCAAGGGAATTTCAAGACATTTAATTCTGTAAACTCCCTAAAACCTGTCAACAAGAGTTAATAAGCGTTTTCTTCATTAAAATATTTCTTGTACAAGCCAAGTAATAGGATCAAGTTACTGTTTACTAATATGTCATGTGTTCTAGTGCCTAGCTTTGTTCTAATCCGATATCGTTTTAGGACAATAATTGGTGCACAATGTGCTTGGAGTCGTTCGGCGTTGTCAACGAAACTATACCACGTCAATGTATCAATCAAAAATGTTCTAAAAACTTTTGTACTAAATGCGTGAGAGATGTTTGTAGTTATAATGGTGAAGATCGACGTTTTCGATGTATGTACTGTGTAACTAAATACGAACGTTATTCTCTGCCGGAAGAGAATGAGGGTTTGAAAAAAGAGTTGTGGAAAGCTAAGGTTATCGAATATGGTATTGAACGCACAGAGCATCTGCTGCAAACAAATTGTAATACTAAAGAATTGGAGTTCGACATTGATTGTCGACAACGGCAATTACTGAATCTGCTTTATATACATCAACGTGTATGCAATAACGCACATGTGAATGAAACAGATGCAGAAGTTGAAAATATGGTTAATCAGCTTGCAAATATTTTACTCGATTTATCATCTTGTTCAAGTAATACTATATTTCTCTGTAAAACACAATATAAACAAGCCATATCAAAAGACAATGATAATGAGATTGGCTCTCGTTACATTTGCCTTTGTGAACAATTGAAATACTATATTTTCAATGATCAATTTTCCAGTATCTTTCCAAATATACACACGAAAATGGATGAATGGATCTGTGAACAAGCATCTGATGATGAATTTCAGCCAAAAGTTTTAGATTTAATCAAAACTATAGAGACAGATTTGATTTCTCAATGGTCGAATCCTTGTGTTACACCTTCAGTCAATATTGGATTCATTGGCTATACAAATGCAGGTAAAAGTTCGTTGCTGAATCGTCTTCTCGGTGTCTCTTCTTTAAACGATGTCGAAGCAGCACCAGTTCGCAGCGTAAAGACAACTTACTTCTCATTACCATTCAATCGGCAACAACCATTAATTTATGGTTCGGGAGATAGAACAATCCGAATACCAGTCACACTAATAGATATTCAAGGCCATGATAAAAATAAGCAAGAAGGCGACAAAAAGCATGAAGTGGGTCTTTATCAAGATGAAATTAGAAAAGCCAGTTGTGATATTTATATCTTGGTCTTTGATGATGAGCTTGACGATGAACAAAAAGGTTGGATAAAATATATCCAAGACACACTGGAGCGAAAACTCGTCTTGGTTAGATCTAAGGTGGACATTCCCTATTTAAAAAAAATGCGTGAGTTGTCAGGGAAGTTCTTTAGTCGGACCACTCCACAAGAGCGCAATCAATATCATAAAACAATTATCGATCAAATACAATCTGAAAGTGAAAAGTCATCCGAAAAAGTTTATTTGATAGCAACTGATTATGAACCCAGTAGTGCTGATGCAGAGGAGTTGCTAAAGAACGAATCTTTCGATTATGATTCGTTACTTACCAAGTTAACTGATTTGGCTATCGTTGCTCGAAATCCTAGAATCCATCAATTGGCACTAAAAGCCGTCAATCGAGTGATAAACATATGTTTTCGTCGAGGATATGTGATAAATGTTATGAAATACAAGATTGCTGCAGGGATTGCAGCGATTATACCTCTTGGCGACCAACTACCTCGGCATTTATCAAGAAATGCTATTAGAAAAGCATTTGGTATTAATGATGAACTTTGTGAATACGTGGAAAGATTTGATCTTACTATTGAAAGAAATGACTTGAAAACATCTTCATTTAAAAAATCGGTAACTACGACAACATCAGAGAACAAGAGGCATGCCAATGCAGAAAAGATTCAAACGGCGACTCGACATACAATAAGTCTCGCTGGTTCGCTTTCCGATGATGTTGTTCGTGTAGCAGCATCAAGTGCAACAGCACTGTCAACCGCTGGAGAGGTTGCATTAGCTGCAACAACAGTCGCTGGTATAGTCTTTTCAGGTGGTATGTGTGCTTGGTCAGCAGTCTCCAGTGGAAAGCATATATTCAGTTATGTCAATCGAACATGTAATGATTGCATTTTGATAATGGATGAAGTGATAAAATCGATCGTAGAGCGTGAAGAACGCAAGACAAACACGAACATATATCCCACAGCCCCGAATTTCAATTAATATCCCCACATGTGTAATTAATAACAATGTGCACATGAGAGTGTATTTGTCTTCTGAAGAAAAATGAAATAAACTCGAACTATTAATTTATATCAGGATCCATTTAGATATTCAACATTCTACTCAAGAAGAAATATCAGATAACGAAATACAACACATTTTTTGTTGTTTAGAATGCAAGTGAGGTTTTGCAATGATCTTGAGCGTATAAGCATGGGTGTGCTTTAACACATTCAGCGGGTCCCACCGGTGGGACCCTCTCTATTCTAACAAAAGAACTAGTAAAAAAACATTTTGTTTTCTTTTATTTCGTAGTAGAAGGTTACACGAAATATGTCATGTATTCTGCTACGCTATGGTTTGAATTATTTATTGCTTAGTGTGATGCTTCTCATGGAAGCAATCAAAACAAAAAAACTCGTCACAGTCAGAACAAAAAGTTTTTATTTTCTTTGCTACTACATTACTTGCTTCTCGTGATTCTTGTTGTCTGAGCTTCTCATAAGAGCCAACCAGAGATTGGATACTTAGTACAATACTTGGTACTTTTCGTACTAAGTAGGGGAAAATCCAAAGTACCACTACATTTTTTTACAGTACAAGTATATTTACTGTTTACTTTAAAATTGTTCTTCGTACTTGTACTTGAGTACAATTTACTTAAGTCCTCTCGTACTTAGTACCGGTACTAGAGTACATTTGTACTTAGTATCAGTACTAAGTACATTGGTACTCAGTACATTGCTATCGCTCATGAAACAATGCTTTGATACTTTCTGCTTCATATTTTTCTCGATTGAAGTAGTTTCTGTGCCTTTTGTACTCACCGAATGCATTTTAATGAATCAAAAAAGCTTTAAGGGCATAAAAAATGGATAAGTGGCTGATTTTTTTTAGCGTTATTTGAAAATAATGATTAGTATATAGAACCTGCGGACTGTACATTGGTGTCGCGCTTCGTTGAAAAAAGTCAGAAGCAGTACCACGATGGGGAGAATATCACTGTCTTGGTTCAATTCAACTCTGGCTTCAGTCATATGATATTGATTTTTTCTACGTGGCTTTAGAGCTTTTTTCTAAAGAGTACAATTGTTGAAGTTTATTGATCGATGAAAGTTGGTGAAAATGCAATAGGTAATTATAAGAATTAAAGTCTTAAAATCAGAGAAAATATGAAGTTTAAAGCTAAAGACTTGACTTCATTTAGATCAAAATAATGCCATTTAACTTGATTTCTAGTTCGAGAAGCATTGATTTTATAATTCATTTAAAATTTTTCTTTCAGGCAGGTTTAACCTTATGTAAGACCTTCTTTTTTTGTTACAAGATCATAAATCTTTTCTTCTCTTCATAATGGTATTTTGTCAGGCGACTCATAACTCGTTTCTTTCGTGCAGTTAATAGCAGATACACTTCTCATCAACGATATTTATTTATTATATTTTCTCAATGAATATTTTCTCAAAACTTTTATACAGTATGCTCCAGAACAGAAAATATGGCTTTATTAAAATCGATTACACAATTTGCAAAGCCCATTGATTCTATTTGTTTCGATTGAAGAAAAAATAAAATAGTGCCTCCATCGCTCATCACTCATTAGTTTTTGAAAGAAGATATGAAAAAGATTATATAACGAAAGTTTCAGGCTCGCTAACAGTGAATAGCTGGTGTTGTAACTTAGATAATAAGAATCCAAATCTTGGGTAATTTCTAATATACCAACCAACTTTTAATTTGTATAATTTTTTAATTTTTCTTTCGTCCCTTACAATTATTCATTAGAATATATAATGCAACAAAAAATAGGGTGGGTATGGGTGTGGGTGTGGGTCTTCTCTTCACTCACACCCACACCCACATCCGCATCCACACCCACACACCCACGCCCACACATCCACACCCACACCCACACCCCCACCCCCACCCACACCCACACCCGCTATTTGATCATTTGGCGACACATAATATTGATAAATATACTTGTAATAAATAGGCATTGTTGATCAAAATAGTCGGGTGTAGGTATGAGTATTATTCAAGACAAGATCCACACCCACACCCCTGTTTATTCAGGATCTTATTCAGTCTTTTTTATCAAAAAAATAGTGCGATTTTGTTGAATATTTGTACGATGCGTGTTCTAATTTATTCAGTGCAAGAACAACAAGGTATTACAGATAATTGACGCTGTACATACATATACTACAACATCTGCCTTGAAATAGAATATTGCATTAATTTTCATATGTTTCGTTCCTTTTTACATTTTCACCACTATGTAATCTATACTTCAACGAAAAGCTCTTATCTATCAAAATAATATTGAATATCTTCGTATCATATACTTTACACCTTTTTCACTGTAAATTATTCATTAACTGTATGCCGAAACTTTATATCATGGATGATGTTGAAAACCTATAGAAATCAAAAAATAACTCTTGCTCATTACTACATTGAGATGTCAAAATTTTATTACAGTAGAGTATATTGACACGTGATATGACACAAACAGTAGCAATTTGCAATAATAATATAATAGAACATAGATATTGTCAGCTTGGTTCCTTTTCTAAAGGAACAAAGATACGGAACATGACCTATTGTCTTCGCAATGTTCTTATATACAGAATTGTAATAATATATTAATTCCAGTAAGCAACAATTCTAGTTGTTACTATAAACGTACTCATCAATCAAAAAAGTCACCATGTTCACTAAACGTGATTGAAAATTATAAATTTTAGAATGATATATTATACTGAGAGCTTCACACAGATCAATAAAAAAATAATCATTTTTCATATATACTTATCCAAAAAGTTACAAATAACGAAGAAGGTCATCTCAAGTTTGTGTCTATCGTGAAAAAGTGTCATTGGTTTTTGAGATTATTCTTTCTCATGCTTCTTTTATCGACTTGATTAAGTAACAAAAGTAGTCTGTTATTACATCTAATTCAAATAGACATCTGATTACAGTGCTGTCAAATCTTATGTAAAACAATGAGTAAAAAAAAGAAGGGTGTGGGTGTGGGTCTTGGTTGTAGTTCTGCCATTTAGTGACACCCACACCTACACCCACACCCTAAAACAAGTGACGTAGATGGATGACTGTAATTGAGAGAAGTGAAAAGAAAGAGTAGATACTTTATAATAAATAGCAGTTTTTGTGACTTTTTGAGTACTTTATTATTCTATTACACAGGATATGAATTAGTCGCAAGTATTCTCATAATTTCATTTTGATTGTCCTCTAATGAAAGCATATATTACAGGAGTCACAAACGTAATGTACTTTCGTAACATCACGGATTTGTATGATACATCCTCTAAAAGAAATAAAATAGATGGTAAAAGCTTTCGTGTCTATCAAACAATCTGTTTTGCAGTTAAATACCCTTGCCGCTTTATGTCGATGTTCAACTGAACAAAAAGTTTCCCAACATCTCCATTTTTTTACGGAAATGTGGATTCCAAAAAGGCACTACAATGCAAGTTAAAAGCGTTTGTTAGAAAACTCTTTCGAGAAATCCTTTCTGCATATAAAAAGAAAGAACAACATTCTAATGCAGTTGAGTTAGTTTAATAGCTATTTGTATCAAGAATGACGTTCTTTGTGATGTTGCCATCTTCTGATCACAATAGATGTAGAAACATACGGTATGATGGAGGAGGAGTTATACATCAAGGTGAGATCTTTTGTTTTCTCTTCTCTTATTCAATTTTTTCATAGAGAGCATCACCAGTCAAATCTATTTTACCATCCAGATTATTACATTCACGATATAAACTTCAATCTTCATAATTCTTATCGTAGTATATGTGGCACAGAATCAAATAGAAATGTTATGATGTTTAAGTCTAAATCTCTCGAAACGCTCCTACTCCAAACATTTTTGGCTTTTCGATACTATTGCTCTTATTTAGATTGCTTTGTGCAGCCATTGTACGTTTATTTGTCTACGAATGTTGTGAACAAGTTTTGGTTAGTACTTGTGCCCGTACTTTCAACTTGATCTATCTGAAAACCAAACAACTTTCCTGTAGTAAGGATGAGTCAAATGTCAATGATATTTTGTCTCTGATAATACAATCCTGTTGTTTGACTCAGCTGCATATCGAATCTGATTTCGTATGTATGAAGGATCAAACATTGATCAAAAAGTTGATTGATTGCTGTCAATTATTTCTGAAACAATTAACAATTAATATCATTTTGTCTAGTCGACTTAGGAAATCATTTGTAAGCAGTACTTGCGGCATCTTAAAATGGACATTACGGACTTATTGCGCCAGTTCCAGAGTGGCTGATGACTGAATTCTTATCCACCATCAGTATTAATTTTCTACGATGATCGAGAAAAGGCTTTCATTGACTATATCCATTGTTGTCTGAATGTAGACACAATACTTTTGATTGATTCAAACACTTGATTAGTGCAATAAAGGACACTTCGAGTCGTCCGATATTTACCTCATAAGATGGATGCACGTTTATTGAATAGTGAGAAATATGTGCCAACAGAGGAAATAATAATAGAGAAAATTGAATAAAGAATTTCTTAACGAAATCAAAAACAAAACTTTTCATCTTGTCTTATATGAACAAAGGAAAGTTATAAGTAAGTCAATTATGGATTTATGGTTAAATTGAAATTATTTGTAGTTTTTCATATACCACTTGAAAAATAACGATTGAAAAACCCATACCTAAACCCTCACTATGACGGAAAATGACACTGACACAGAAGTTGTTCATTTTGACTATAAGAAAAACCATAAAAACAGTAAAAACATATTCAATCAAACAACTCCTATAAAACTTTCATGGCGTATCTCCTGAAAACAAATTCAAAGTTTTATCATTTTTCTAAGCCGAGATATATGCGAAATAAAAAACAATGTTACCGCATAATAAAAACCAACGTCACTTTTTCTTCTATTACAGTTTTTTTCATTTTAAGCTTTCTTTGATGTTCAGAGTAAATATACCAAGACTTTCTTTCTATATATACTAAGTTAATAACAAAAAAAAATGAAAGGGTATCATTTCAGTTGTCCTCGGCTTTAAAGATTGCCTTTCTGGCTTTTATTCATAGATATTTATTGAAACCGATTAATATAACTAATGGGAAAATTTTATGAGTGTGGGTGTGGATTTCATATAACTATTACTATGCATGAAAAAGACTTTCCCACACATCCACACTCACATTTTAAATAGAATTTTGTTACGTGGCTGCCCGTCAAGTTACTACGGTATGCGATCAGATCTTACAGAATCATATGGAATCTGATTGCTGGATGGGTGGAACCAGTTATAGATATCATTTTCAGGATTCCTATTTCGAGGTAAAAAAGCGGATGTAAGCTCTTCTGATATCAGACTAAATTATACAAAAAACTACTGTCCCCACAATCTTACACAAGATTGCATCCCAAAGTTCTTCAGCGATCTTGCTGCATAAGATTTTCTGTAGGTACCGATGAACACTAGTTCCATAAGTTATAGCAGTCCTCCAGCATGCTGCTTATCACCTCCGAGCACTGAGCGCTTTGTTATTTGATGTATAACTTTCCCCGTATATAAATATATATTCTTCTTTAATCATTCTGTGTTTCATATGATGTGATCAATGTCTGCACAACTCTCCCAATAACTTTAAAATTCCGTACTACAACACGAATCTATAGCGTCGCTATCGTGAACCATCCCTATGATGTAATTTTAGCATCTCAAAAAAACACTGATCAGGTTCTTCGGCAAAATAAATACCGCTCGATTTTATTTTTCTGAAAAAACTGATCTAGACAATTCGAATTTCTTTTTTACTATTTCAATGTGTCTTTTCACAAGTAGTAAATGGGGATGAGTAGGAGAGAGCGACTTTTCAAAAAGCTTCAGTGATGTTTCGTACGATGAAAGTGCTTTCGTGTACTCGCCCATGTTATAATACGCCACAGCGATGTTGTTGTAGGAAGTAGCCAAGGTGGGATGATTCGGAGGGAGAGCTATTTTGAGGATTGCAAGCGATCTTTCGTACGATGAACGTGCTTTCGAGTACTCGCCCATGTGAGAATACACTGAAGCGATGTTGTTGTAGAAACTAGCCCAGTGAGGATGATTCGGAGGGACAGCTATTTTGAGGACTTCAAGTGATCTTTCGTATGATGAAAGTGCTTTTGAGTACTCGCCCATGTGAGAATACACTGAAGCGATGTTGTTGTAGGAAGTAGCCAAGTCAGGATGATTCGGAGGGAGAGCTATTTTTCGGATTTCAAGTGATCTT